TATCCATGTAAGCCGCCCCAAGTAGACACTGTCTAGGGGGGGCGGGGTAAAAATCTAACAAACAAACAAATAAATAAATGAATATCCACTTTTTGTTCAAGGAGCTCACAACGATAATAATTTTCGCAAATGCAGAAGCAGGTAATATTTACACGCACTCCCGTTTTATCTCCACTATAACCTTTGTAAAATAAAAGCCTGGAAAAGTCCAGGAAAAGCTTCCTGTAGGTTTCCCTATTCCTAGTCTGGTATGGCACCAGCTTTCTCTGGCTCATATCTAGTTTGGCTTGCTTGAGTTTTGATTACAATTCACCACCTTGGGCGTTTCGGTCAAAAAGATATAAATATTTTAGATAAACAAAATTGGAGCTATACTAGAAACCCCTGAGGAGGGCCACCATAAATTGGAATTAACTTGACATCGTGTGATTATTATTATTCAAAAACACCAGGCACTGTCAATCAAAATTATAAAAACATTGACTGGTATTATACAACAAATAAACGTTTTAAGCAAAAACTAAGTATCTGTTAAATATTGGTGCAGTACATATGCTGATCCTAATATTGCCCTTTTTTTGTAGCTCTGACGATGTTATTCTGAAATCTGCAACTGCTTATAGCACTGTGTGAAATTCCATGGTAATGTTCCCAAAGCCCCAATGACAATGGGAACCACTGAAGTGTGTTTCATCCAGAAGTGAGATGTTTCAATTGCTAGATTTCTGTATTTTGTTAATTTTTCCAATTCTTTATTTTCATCCCTGGCATCCCCTGGAATTGCAGTGTCAATGATCCATACATTTCTTTGTTGTTGTTCCCAAAGTAAAGAGCCTCGTGGCGCAGTGATTAAGCCAAAACTGTACTCACAACCCAGGGTTAAATCCCAGGTAACCAGCTCAAGGTTGACTCAGACTTCTATCCTTCTAAAGTTGATAAAATGAGTACCCAGCTTGCTGGGGGTGGGGGCCAATGTGTCGCCTCTATAATTAACTTGTAAACTGCCCAGAGAGTGCTTGAAGTGTTATGGGGTGGTATATAAACAGCATACTTTGTTGTTGTTATAGTTAAATTAGTAAAAACTCATTATGTTCCTCTTTATCAAAAGTAACTAATTTCTTTTAAGATACTTTTAAAAAGTCTGAAACTGCTAACCCAGAGCATAGCATAGGCATCCTTCAGTCTCGAGAGACTATGGTAACGTGCTCTGAATCGAGGAGTGTCCTCTCCAGAGCATGAAGCCTGGGTAAAGTAATATGGAGGATAGGCTGTTACCCAAGCAGCAGATCCCCCCTCTCCACATTGCTGAAATGATCCAATGGAAAGTCAAAAGCCAATACAACTGGTTCCAGCAACGTCGCAGGAGCTGGCAGAACGACACCAGCTGCCTTCAGGACTCCAGCTCCGGATTTTGCTCTAGGTTATCTCCTAAAGCCATTTTCATGAGTGGATATAGCCACAGGGGAGTGGAGGTTTGAAATCAGAGTTTTCCTTCTCCTAGATGGGCTGCCTTTCATGGCTGACGAGCCCCACCTACCCGGCCTGCTCTCTAATAGTGCAGAAGTATGATCCGACCTTTAAAACTTTCCTGCCTCCCAGGTGTATGCAATTCTAATTGGCTTTCCTGCTAACCAGAGCCACAAAAAACATTCTCTTCTGTTCACCTCCTCACAATCTCAGTACCTACAATAGAGCATAAGGTGACAATTCTAGGCACAAAATCATAAACCATATGATCCTCTTCCCTTTAGTGAAACCATATCACCACAGCTATCAAAATAACTGAAAACCATAGCTTTGCTTTAAAAGAAACGAAGTTATCCTTCACTACATAAGTTTGTAATGTGATTCAATATTAATTTTTATCATTGGGGGAAGGTTACAAATAATTTGAATTACTTCCAGGCTCTGCTAATATCCATGTTTTATGTCTTCTATAATAAGCAAGGCAGCTTTGTAGTATGTCAATGGCCATATTTTTAGCAAACAAAATTAACTACACTTTCTGCAAACCAAGGTGTGTGATGACTGATGTTTTCTGGGAACAGTATGTAAAAAGTCTGAAAAGCACACTGAAGTATTTATACTGTATTCTATTTGTGGCAGTGAAGCTTGACATGTTTTGGCCAAGGTGGCGTAGCATAGCTTTCCCAAAGCTGAATTTCTCCAAATGTGTTGAATGAAGGCAAGAAACAAACATCCCAACAGCCCATAATTTGACCTAAAGTCTTGTAGCATTGAGGTAGTTAGGGTCTTATGAGGCAAGATGGTAATTCTGTATCTAGAAGCAGTACATCCTTAAGAGGAAAAGACTGTTTATGTATTTGTAAGTGCTTCAATCCTCTTTTGGCAAATTATGTTGCAGTGTTTTATAACCAGCAGTTGAGCCATACTACCTCTTTATTTGCATATCTAATATCTCAAGCAGGTAGCACAGTGTGCTTTTTATTATGCCTAGAAGAGTAATGTTTTCAGAATATGTATGCACTTGCTTTAAAATGTCATCTAATATTCAGTTTTTCTTGTCTGAGGAAGCAGACTTCAGACTGAATCCTGGAACTTCAGCCCCTACAGACCACAATATACAGTGGTGCCTCGCTAGACTATGATTTTCCTATGGGCAATTTTCACCCGATGATGTTTGGATCCTTGCCTTTCCCAAAATGGATCCTTGCCTTTCCCAAAATGGTTTCCCCCCCACGATGTTTGGATCCTTGCCTTTCCCAAGATGGTTTTTCCCCACATTGGAACAGATTAATTACATAGAGACCTGGGGCATATAAATTAAACAAATAAAACCTGTGGGGGAGAAAGTAGGCTGCTATTTTTCCCAAAGGCAGACCTTGTAAAGCCAGCAGCATACACTTTCTCTCTCAGTCTTTTGAGATAAAAAAGTAGGTCTTATGTAATTAATATATTTCAATGGGTGGGGGAAACCATCTTATAAAACTTTGCCAGTAGGGCTATAGGTGCAAATTTAAGTGGTAGAGAATGGAAAAACCAATAAGGAACCAAAGAATAAAGATAATATGAAGAAAAAATAGGAAAATTATAAATGCAATCACTCATTGGCACAAACTATGCAGTTGAATTCTCCACACCTAGGAAAATCACAGGCATCACAGACATACCCAAAATATGATAGATGAACCATACCTTGAGAAAACCACTTTTATGATCATGGTATTTCCATTGCAAGATATGAGCTAGAATGGCCCTTGCACCTCATACCCCCTTCTGTCCCCTGATACCCCAAGTCATGGTGACCCCCTGGCTGTACCTCCCACTTAGTACAGGGCTGCACAGCCCCAGTCCTACCACAGGCCAGGAGAGCTCCTCAGTGTTTTGGGGTGCCCTGCAGGACCCCCATCAGGGGCTAGGTGTTCCTCCCACAATCCTCTAGTGCACAGGTATTAGCATATGCTAATATGTTATGCTAACAGAATATATCAGCATATGCTAATACCTGTGCACTAGAGGATTGTGGGAGGAACACCTAGCCCCTGATGGGGGTCCTGCAGGGCACCCCAAAACACTGTGGAGCTCATTCTTGGCCTCTGGCAGAACTGGGGCTGTGCAGCCCTGTAATGAGTAGGAGGGGCAGCCAGGGAGTCACCATGCCTTGGGAGGTCAAGGGACAGAAGGGGGTATGAGGTGCAAGGGCCATTCCAACTCATACCTTGCAAGGGAAATACAATGTAATAAAAGTGGTTTTCTTGGTGGGAGAATTATCCACTGTACTTCAAGTGTGCTGCTGATTCTTGTGATTTCTCTAAATGTGGGAAATGCAACTATAGTACATAATTTGTGTTAATAGGAAGTTGCACTTACTTTCTTGGTTTTTCTAGATTCATTTTCTTTTCTCTAATCAGGATTTATTGTAAACAGCAAGTCTTAGCAATGTCTTATATTGCATTCTTTCTCTTTTTCTCCCCTATGGTAAAGGATTGGGGCAAAAAGAGTCACTGTTATCAAGAGCCAGGGGGCTGCTTGATTTTTTTCATCCTCTTTCAAAGAGAGGGAAGACCCTGGGAGACCCATTGAATTTCCAAAGGCAGTGCAGTTGAAGGGATTGTGTTTTCCAAATATGGTATGGGGGAACTGTGTTTTGCAAGAGGATGTCTTCTATTGATAATTTTCACAGAACAGTGATTTTTCCCCAATTGGAATGCATTAAATAGATTTTAATGCATTCCAATCGACCAATCTTCCTGTGTGTATATAAAGGATTTCCACTGACTTGTGTGTATGTAAAGAGACTAGCAAAACATCAGGAAAACATGGCCAAAGAGCCCGAAAAACCCACAACAGCCACTTAAGAAGTGTCCTCTTCTAATTACTGGTGATGTATAACACCTGTTCCTGCCCTGACCCTTCCATGTCCATGGCACTGCTGGTGGTGGATGAAGGGCTTTGTAGTTCGTATCTGGAGAACACATGGGTGGGACAAGTAGGTATATTTATACTGTACATATTTCCAGGGATGGGGAATTGAGTCATGGGACTTGTTGCCAAATCGGACTTCCGAGGACTCGAGTGGATTCGGGTTTTTTTCCTTAATGACTCGGACTCGAATTGTGATTCACTACTCGCCCACCCTCTCCCTTTTTTTCTGGGATGGAGAGGAGAGAGCTTGATTTTAATACCGCCCTAAACTTAGGACTCGGGACTTGGTCACAAGGACTCGGACCCAAAGACCTGCCAACCTCCCTGAATGCTTCAAGTCCCCCCACCCACCCAGAGAGGACAAGGTTGCCCGAATGATGGCCCTCCAGATTCTGGAAAGGAAAAAGCCTTTAACTGAGATTAAAATGTGGCAGACATCAGAAGGCCAGGAAGAGTTTTTGGAGCGGGCTGTGGAGAGTGTTGCGGCTTTAGCGGGTCGGGCCCTCAGTCCAAAGGCTGCTCTGGTGCAAGCACCTCCAACCCAGGCACGCGGAAGGACCGAGCCCGGCTGTCCTCTCGCCGAGGCAACCCTCGGTACCTCCACAGTCTAGCCTTACTGGCGGAAAGAGGGCCAGGGCCGCCGCCGCCGCCTCCTCGTCCTCTAAGCTCCTGCCGACCCGAGTCAAAAGAGGCGCGCGTCCGTGGGCCCGAGCGAGAGCGGCACGCGTGTCACCGCCTCTCCTGACCCGCCTGGGGCTCCCTGCTGGGAAGCAGCCGCCAGCTCCTCAGCGGGGTGGACGAGCTGAGAGAGAGAGAGGATGGCGGCCACCCACCCGCCCACCTCATAGCTCCCGCTTTTGTCCGGCGGTGGGCGAAGGACGACAACGACAACAACAATTGCCCGCCGCTTGCTTCCCTCCGTCCCTCCCTCTCTCCCGGCGGCTGCCACCTCCTCCATCCGGGCCCGCCTTCCGAGCCGCGGCGCTTTCTCTCCCTTCTCGTCCCGCCTTTTGGGCTCCATGGCGGCCCGGCGGCGGCCGGGGCTGCTGCTGCCTCCGGCCTCCTCCTCCTCCTTCAGGTGAGTCTCCGCCCCGCTCGGCCGGGCCCTTCTTCTGGGCGAGGTGGGGGGGTGGAGGAAGGGAAGGAGCTGAGCAGGCCGGCCGGGGCGGCCTTCAAGCCCGCCCTTTCCCTCCGTCCCACCCATCTCCCTTTTCCCCCTTCTCTCTGCTTGGGTTTTTATCCCTTCCCTCCCCTTTCCCTGAGACGGAAGCTCGCTGGGGAAGGTGGCGGGCCGCTTCTTCTCCTTCCCGGGACGGTGGAGGTAAAAAACCTGGGTCGTGTTGCGGGTGGGAAAGGGTGTGTGTGTGTGTGTGTGTATTGCAGGGCCTCTCTGCCTTATTGATGCCAACCGATGATTTCCTCGCGGGTTGCCCCGCCTCCCCTTTTGCAAGCCTTGCCTCCTTACCCTTCAGACGTGCTGTTGGAACCCGTGTGTGGAGCGCGGGTCTTTGGGCTTCGCCCCACTTGGTTCCTCTCTGCTTGGCCGGGTGGCGATCGGAGCAACAGGTTCCTCCTCCTCCTCCTCCTCCTAACTCGCGTGGCCTTCTTCCGCAGCCCCGCTTTCCCCCCCTTCCCTTCCTTTGCTCTCCCTCCTTCCCCCCCCTTTTCCCCCCCTTCCCTTTGTGTTGCCCCTTCCCCAAACCCCAGGACTGAATGCAAGCAAGCGGGTGAGTTGGGGAGAGGGAGCCGTCCTTGGCTTCCAAAGAAGCGTTTTCCTTTCTTGGGACTTTTTAAAAATGAGATTTTACTGTGTAATCCTGCGCTGTGTTTATCTAGGCTTTCATTCTGGTTTTTCTTAACCCGGAGTCATTGGGATGTGAAGGAAAAGGAGGTGCCTTTTCTGTGAAAAGACAGCAGCCGGCATCCTTAACAGGAGATGGATGGAGATGGGTTCTCATGAACCGGCATTGTGACTTGTTACTGATCCTAAAAATATTGCCCCGGGGCTCTACTCTCTGGCCATCTTGCAATTTACTGTGTAGTCAGGACGTCGGTATCATCAGATCCTTTGGCTTTGTGAAAGAAATGCATGACTCCCTAGGGCCCTCGGTTGATTCAGCACAGTGATGATCTCCATATTGCGGTTGCCATATCCTGTTGGGTTGTGGGCATATCCATAGTTTTTACTGTTTCCTTGCTTTCCTTTCTTCTCACAGTCCTGCACCATTTTCTGTAACGGTTAGGTGCTTGCCTGTGAAAATCTGCATGATTTAAAGCAGGTTGAAAGCTTTTGCATTTCACGAAAAACTGGGAGGGGGTGGAAAGAGAGGGGAAAGAGCTTTTAAAAGAAAAAAGGTCTGGAATCTCTCCAGGACAAATGATTAACATCAGAAAATAGTTCTGTAATCTTAGTTAAAGGATATCTATGTGCCTCCTTACTCTAATAAGGAAATGCAGTGGATCTTCACAGTTATTTGCTAACACAAAAATGGTGGCTCTGCAGAGACCTGAGCATTCTGCTGTGATAGAGAGAACATTGATTTCCTTCTCCCCTTCCCTTCTCCATGATGTTTTCTAAGGTGAAACCAGAGTCTATGCTCTTGAAGGTAACATCCTTTTTCTTCCATCAATCATCCTGGTGAACTTTTAATATTATAGTAACATTAATTTTTTTAGTTGGCATAAGATATGACCTTCTCTGAAATTGATTCATTGGAGGGAGAAAGGAGGCCGCAATTAAAAACTGAAAGTTTTGAGGGCCTAATCTTAATAATATGAACTTCATTCCTTTTTAAAACACTTACCCCGCACGTGGCAGTATGCGTAGGTGTAAGTATTAACTGGAAAAAAAAATGAAGTGCATAATGCAAAATGATGATTCCATGCCCTCTGTGGAGGTATCGCTTGGTGAACCTTGATATCTAGTTGGGTCAGAATCTCACATAAATTATGTACTGATGATGGCCACCTTATGTGTCAAGATGGGTAGGAAATGCTTTTGTAGAAATTTGCGCATAACTCGGAATAGTTCTTTCAAAGAAAACATTTCCTCTTTGATTTTTGTGGACTGATATTTGCAGCTATGCTTTCATTTGTTGCTTTTTCATAAAAGAGTCATGGGTAGCAAGATGACTCTTTTCTGCTGAGCGACCAGGAACAAATAATATTGTCTACCTCAAGTTGCTTTTCTTCTGACAAGTCTAGTTACAAGCCCTCAACAAAGGAACAGGGAGAGAAAAAGAGAGAGGGCATGAGTAAGCAGGGAATGGCAAATGACATGGGGAAGAAAACAGTTGTAGGCTGCCAAAAGTTAGCAGCAGAAGACTTTGGCATTTGGATAGAGAACTGACACGGGGTGTTGGGGATTCTCTCTGAGCAAGGTTTGGAATGATGCAATAATTTGTGTTTCTCCAGGCCTTCCAGAAGGATATTTTACTGCTTCCCCCTATTTGTTTACCATTTGCTGGTAAACCTCCTCAAACTATACACTGTGAAATATGTAAAAAGGAAAAATAGTTGTATCTATTCTAGAATGAATTTAAGAGGAGCTGTACTGCACGGCTAATCCAGTATTCTGATAAGTAATGGCTGGGCAAAGAAAGGGAAGCCTGTAGCAGGACATGAACTCAGTAGCATCCTAGTGCTCGTGTTCCCTAACAACTGGTTTAAAGAGGCCTATTGCCTTTAATAGCAAAAATGAAATACAGTACAGCCATAATACAGTAGTTAGTTGTTGATAACTTTATGCTTTCCATGAATTTTTACAATTGTCTTTTAAGTCCCTGCAAGTTGGCAGAGCATCCCTATCTCTGGGTTTGCAAACACCATACCTTAACTCCTGAATGTCTGAAGTATTTCTTTTTTACTTGTCATGAATCTCCTAGTGTTCAGCATTATTAGATCTCTGGTTCTCCCCACCCATTTTCTCTACACAATTTTATATTTCTCTTTTATGGTCCCTTTTCTCATTTTGTTCTAAGGGAAAAAGAGCCCCAAACATTTTAGCTTCCTTTTATATGGGAAAATATGCCTTTTCTCAAATAGAAATTTCTCCAGCGTGTTAATGGTTTTAATTGCAATTATAGATGTCGAGGCCAGAGTTGTAGGCTTTATTCCATGTGTGATCACATCATAGATTTGTATGGGGACATTAGGATGCTGGCAGTTGCTTTTTCTAATAGTTTCCAACCTGAAATGTGCCTTTTTCCAGCAGATATATGTTGGGTTGACATACTCATTGAGTTGTGTCCACCCAGTACCTCTTTTCTGATCATTTGCCAGCTCACACATCCTCAGCAGATACACCATGAATAGATACAGGAAGTTGGGATTCCCCCCCCCCTTCTATTGTGCACTTGCTTGCATCTTATTTGCCTTTTTGATGCCAGTTCCCCCAGTTTGGATTAATAATTCTGAAGTGTATGGCCACTTCGTTTTGTTTTAACCACCCTAAATAATTTGGTGTCAGCGCAAACTTGTTGCCTCCTTGCTCAAGTCTAATTCCAGATAAAGTCCCAGTATAGGTTGCTTATGGAATTAAAAAGCATCTATCTCAGTACAAGTTACACCCCTTCTTAGCGGGAACTGACCATTCATTCCTATTCCTTGCTTTCTATTCTTTAATCTGTTACCTACCTACTGTATGTTAAGAGAACTGCTTCTTCTTTCTCATCACTGGTAAGCTTGTTCATGAGATTTTGGTGAAAGACTTTGCCAAAAGGCTTTAAAAAGTTCACCATAAAAATATGTACTGGATTATATCATCCATGTATTTCTTGACTCTCTTATAAAAGTTACTGGCACAGGGTTTTACCTTTGGGAGAAGCCTTGTTGATTATTTTTTTCAACAGGTCTTATCCTACCGTGATCAGAATAATTTTATCTTTTGTAACATTTTCCACCTGTTTATCTGGAACAGATGTTAAACTAACTGCCTTGGTACCCCAATGGGTCTGTGAGCTAAGGGACAAGGAAACATTTCTCCTTGTCAGTGTGCTGTCCCCGCCATCCTTAAGAAAGACTGAAACAATCCAACCTTAACCTCAAGTAGTGGAAGGAAGGAAAGGGTGATGAATTGAAATGCCCAGGAAGTGAACAGCAGCCTGTGGGAGAGGCAGTCCTGGCAGGAGAGGAGGAGACTGTAAAAGAGAGCTCAGAGGGAGGGAGGGAGGGAGGAGAAGAAGAAGTAGCTAGTGAGGAAAAAAGGATATTGGGGGAAAGTAGTGATAGAGAAAGAGACGTGGTGGCTCTGGGGGCTAAACCGCAGAAGCCTGTGCTGCAGGGTCAGAAGATGAGCAGTCGTAAGATCGAATCCATGCGATGGAGTGAATGCCGGTCGCTTTGTCCCAGCTCCTCGCCAGCCTAGCAGTTCGAAAGCATGTAAATGCAAGTAGATAAATAGGGACCACCTCGGTGGGAAGGTAAAACAGCGTTCCCTAGTCACGCTGGCCACGTGACAATGGAAACTGTCTTCGGACAAGCACTGGCTCTATGGCTTGAAAACGGGATGAGCACCACCCCCTAAAGTCGGACACGACTGGATTGAAAATGTCAAGGGGAACCTTTACCTTTACCCTTAGTGATAGCGAAGGAAGAGTTGTCCAGAGATGGACATACATAGTCAGGACCCATGGACAGGGGAGTGGGTACAACTATATGTCCTCAAAGAAGCAGCAGAACAAACCCCATGCAAACCACCTTACTGGAGGGAAACAGCAGAGAAAGAAAAAAGGAAGGAAGAATGGAGGAAAAATGAGATCCAAAACCAGAGAAACCAGGGATGTTGTATGTACCCTGGGACATCTCATGGCATGAACAGATTCCCACCCAAACAGTGCTGGACACTGGCCATAAAGGTATGGGAGTTGTCTGAGGGATTGGGTGGCTACCCCTACAACCCATAGGACTGGGAATAGGCGTGTCAACACCCCCCCCCCCAAGAACAACGGGATGGACTAAGGTAGATATGGAACAAGCTCCATTGTGTTTGGCAAGTTGGGAAAGAAACCTCTGAAGGAAGAGGGTTATTGGAACCTGATGTCAATTTGTTACAGTTGTTGGAAATAAAAGATGTTGGAC